CACTGCGTTCACCCGCCGGGCAGACTCCACTACTGCACACCAAGCAGGCCAGGCCGGGGAGGGAGGCCGAGGAGGCCGCCGCGGTCCAGCTCCGTGGAACTGGGGACAGACCAGGAAACCACAAGCAGAAGCACCCAGAGCTGAGCCATGCAAACGGCATGCAAAGAGCTACGGGATCCGAGGCTGCTCAGCTGCATGCCCGGCAGTCAGCTCACGGGGCCCCGGGAGGCGCAGCCCCCTGCTCCCCGGCCGGGGAGGAACCAAGCGTCCAGGGAAACGTAGCCCCGTGAGCTGCCCAGCATCACGTCACCTCCGTGAGACCTGGGACGGTGCCGCGGTCTGTGTGCATTTATTCTTTCATGTAATTCATGACCACCTATGTGTGGCAGGCGGTACGGACACAGCACCGAGGGACACAGGCCATCTCCTGGGTAGGAGACAGACATTAGCAAACAATTTAACAGCTCTGAACAGTTTGGCTCAGTGGATAGAGCCCACGGACGGAAGGGTCCCGGGTTCGATTCTGGTTGTGGGCTCGATCCTCAGTAGGGGGCATGCAGGAGGCAGCCGATCAATGATTCTCTCTCATCATTGATGTTTCTCTCTCTCTCCCTCTCCTTTCCTCTCTGAAATCAATAAAAACCTATTTTTAAAAAAGAAAGATGAAGGAGGAAATCCGGAGAAAAGTTCGGGGCGAGGCAGATGTTCCAGAAAGAGGAGCCAGCGTGTGCCAAGGTCTGGGCCCACCTCGGATTGAGCGCCCGGAGCACAGACCAGCCTTCCAGGTCCCACACCTGCCCGCTGCCGAGGTGGTGGGCGGAATTCCACAAACTGCTCACCAGGTACCCAGGACGGGGACCGTGGGGGCTTCCGTGAGTGGCACCTCCAGGCCTGCAGATGCCCGTGGGCCCTCCCGGGGCGACCCTCACAGTCACCTTCGGGCCTTTGCTGACCCTCACGCTGGTCCAGGCAGGGAGTCCACAGCCCTGAACCAGGAGGCAGTTTGCAAGCTGCTGGGCCCCTCCTTCACCTGGATGGGCAAACCTCCATGTGCCAGTGTGTGTGCATAGGAACAAAAGCTGGTTCTGTTGACACTTCACTCTGGAGGGCCCCCGGCAGGTGAGGGGTGCTCAGCAGTAGAGGCCTGAAGGTTAGACCACCTTTGAGGGGAATGGGGGGAAACCTGTGGCACAGAGAAGCTAAACAACTGGCCTGAGGTCACACAGTGAGGAGGTGGCAGAGCCAGGACGCGGACCCAGGGCGTGGCTCTGACACTAGCACAGGCTGCGCCTCAGCACCATCAGATGCAGTTACTAGAAGAAAACAAAAACCAATTCACACTTCCACCCTACAGTGAAGACTCAGTCAGCTACAGCATGATCTTGCTTTCAGTGGCCCGGACGCCCAGTTGCGGGGAGCCCTGAGGCCACCATGTCTGTCTGCACAGCTGCCTCCCTCCAAGGAGAGGACTAGGCTCACGGGAGCAGCATTCTCGGCTGAACTGGGCGATGGCCATGGTGGCCCCCCAGCCTGGAGCACGGGCTTCCCCGTGGGAACTGGGTGAGACCCCTCCGCCCCGCCCCGCCCCGCTTCGATGGATAAGTCCGTTGTGTCTCGAGGCAGAGATGAGTCACCTGCTCTACTGTGCCCCATTGTAACTGATGCAAACACAAGATGCAAATGATCAGCCTCAGCCCACGCCCCTCTGCCGCAGCCCCTCCCTGGGGGTCAGAGCACACTGCTCTTTTGGAGGCTGCAGGCTGCTCCCCGCCCACCCCCAGGGTCTGCAGGCCCACATCTTTCCTTCTCCAGGCCCTGGCACTTTCCTATCTCCTGGCCTTGGTGTCCCTGGCTGCTCACTGGAGGCAATCAGGGCTTCTGCACAGATGGGCACTGGGCAGAGTTCCCGGTGTGCCCACCTCCCTGGCACCCAGGCCATCTAGAGCTTGTCCCCAAGCTCCTCTGAGAGGCAGGGCCTGCCCAAGTCGCTGGGGGCCCAGCCGGGGTCCTCGGCGAGCTGCCCTGGGGGTTCACCAGGCGCTCTGCACGCTCATTTCCGTTTGATGAGTCAGTCATCAGCCGTTTCTTATGACTCGTCAGCAGAACCCAGTGGCTTTGGGGTGGAGATGAAGGGGGAAGAAGGTGGCATCCAATCTCACCAGGGATGAGGCCTTTATTCAAAGGCTTGGCGAGCAAGGCTTGGCTTCCTGGCACCCCTCTCCCAGCACCCCCTCCACCCGGCAGAAGGAGCTGTTGTGAAATTCAGTGGCTGCCGGGAATGGGAATGCCCCCACATCCGCGGTGGGGGAGTGTCGAAACAGTCAACAATGGGGTTTGCCCCTACCTCCAGTTCCTCTTCTGAGCCAGTGAGGATGAGTCTTTACTGGGGACCCTGAACAGGACAGGGTTTTGTTGACATGATCCCTTGAGGCAAAGCAGGGGTTGTCTTCCCTATTGTGCAGGACTGGTCAGAGGGTCGGGGTCGGTCTGGGCCCATCTTCCTAGGCAGCCCCCGAGGGGGCAGGGAAGAGGGCATCTTTTCTTGGGGGATAGAGCGCCGGCCTGCAGAAGGGTCCCAAGTTTGATTCTGGTCAAGGGCACATGCCGGGGTTATGGGCTCAATCCCCTGTAAGGGGCGTGCAGGAGGCAGCTAATCAATGATTCTTATCATTGATGTTGCTATCTCTCTCTCTCTCTCCCTTCCTCTCTGTAATCAATAAAAATCTATTTTTTGGAAGTAATAATAAATGGAGGAGAAGAAACAGGTCTCATTTACAAAAGAATTCCAATTAATAAATGAGACAGGAATGAGAGAAATACAAAATCACCATTAGGCCAACACCACAGTAGTAATTTTACAGGCAAGAGCCACCAATGGATGCGAAAATCAATGGGTTATCCTGGCCGGTGTGGCTCAGTTGGTTGAGTGTCATCCCATGCACTGGGAGGTCACCAATTCGATTCCCAGTCAGGGCACATGCCCCGGTTGAGGGTTCAGTCCCCAGTCAGGGTGCATATGGAAGGCAACCAATTGATGTTTCTCTCACACATATATGTTTCTCTTCCTGCCCTCCCTCTCTCTCTAAAATTAATAGAAACCTATTTTTTTTGCCAGGGGAGAAACCTATTTTTAAAAATAAAAAAATAATAAAATCAATGAGTGAAAATTTGAGAGGAAACAGAATATTTGCTTAATCTCAGAGTATTTCCCCTAAGAAGTTGAGCAATTATACAGGGGAAAGTACTAACTTTAGCGTGGAGAAACCCAGTATCACCTCTGCCTCACGATCGAAGTTAATATCACCAATGAGAAGGCATATCAACATCATGTATTGATGTTGCCCTGAGAGGCTCATGATATCACTTCCCTGGGATGTATCCCCAAAATGCATCCCTGCAATCTAATGAGAAAAGATCATTCCCAACCTAAATGGGAAGAACTGCTATTTGACTGACCAGCATTCACCCAAGTGTCAAGGTCATAGAAGCTAAGGAAAGACTGAGGAACCGTCACAGGCTGGAGGAGCCTAAAGAACACAGAAAGCTAAATGTAATGTGGGATCCTGGGCTGGATTCTGCAACTGAAAGGGGACATTAGGGGGGAAACAGCTAAAACCCAAATAAAGCCTGTAGTGTTGTACAGTTGGGCCAGTTGTTCGTGGTTTTGATAACTGCACCACATTACGTGAGCTGTAAACATTAGGGGAAGCTGGGTGGGGGACATGCATGTCTCTAAGAACCTTTATCTAGTTACCTAACCTCACATATCCTTTCTATATCTCTCTGGCTGGTGGTCCAATGCCTTGCTGCCCTTCATGAACTTGTTTGAAGTTGTTATTTCATAATTCCTAGTGACAGGTGGGCAGGCCAGTGCAGGGCTGGCTGCCTTAAAATCCTCTACATCGATGTTCCTAAACTGGGGTTCAGACTCTGGGGTTCTTGAAGGGTTT